ATGGATGTGATACCCTAATAGTAGTCCTTGGGTGGAATTGAGTTTGAGGCATTGTATACGATACTGATTGGTCTTCAATGATAGGTGGTGGGCTTCGGTTGACAGATGTGTCGATTACTCCTTCTACCTCTTGCCCATCTACCATTACTACATCATCTGTCGATTCCTCGACATACGTTTCTTCGTCTTCTTGTGTCAAGTCCACTTGGTCCTCGACATACATTTCGTCGTCGTCTTGTGTCAAGTCCACCTGGTCTACTGCAAGCATTTCGTCATCGATTGTGAATGTGTCGTTCTTTCCGACATTTGGGGCTTGACGTGTGTTGACATTATTATAGTTACGGTATCTTCCTCGACGGTAGTAGCTGTTGTTGTTGGAATATGACGACACACTTGTGTTACTATCCCACAGTACTTGTATAACATTGACTGATACCAACTCGCTCACGCGTTGACAACAACCTGTGAGTGACTATTGGTATCAGGTAAGCTTATTGTATATATATCAACGCGTTGACAACAACCTGTGAGTGACTATTGGTATCAGTTTACATCAGGTTATGAGCCCACCGTCTAACTGAAAGTCACAAATTGTCAAACGTGGAATTATGACGTCTATTGAAAAACTCTTGATAACTGGCAGTAAGTTCAATGGAACTACAGATGTAGTGAACTTCTTGACTTGGGCGTCGTCTGTAAAGTTGGAGTTACAAGATAACTCTGATGGAGCTTTCGAGGCCGTTGATGACATTGATGGACTCAACGCAATTGGGGTTGCACGACCTGTTCCGACGGAGTCAGCTCCGTTGGAGTCAGTAGAATACAAGGAGATGTTAAAGGCTTGGAACAAGATGAATATCAAAGCTAAAGCTATCATCACCAAACGTCTTGATGAACGTGGTCCTGCTTATGCATACGTATGTAACATGGATTATGCACGTGACATGTGGAAGGCCTTGAATGAAATGTATATGTCCAAAGATATCAATGGTTTTTACAAGTATCTTGTAACTTTGATGGGGGCTCGGCGCGGCTCTGATGAGTCCGTTGCCTTGTACTATCAAAAGTTTAGTAGGGACTATATGAACGTTAAATCTGTAATCACTACACTGGCCAAAGATGGTACCTCTGCCATGTCATCAAATGCTACTACCACTACTGCCGTAGACTTCTATGCTTTAGATCTTATGGCAAGTGTCATGTTCATGAACCAGATAGGCTCTGAATATGATGTATGGCGTCAAACTACTGTCTCAACCATTGGTGTAAAAGATCTATCTCTTCGTAAATTGTATGAGTCTGCTGTAGCTGCTGAAGGGATGAAGTCATCTGCTGCTGCTGCAGATGCTGCTCAGGCATACTACGCTAATGAGGACAAGAAAGGCAATAACAATAGCAATGTCAAACTAAATCGTGCTGGGCAACCACGTCAGATTCCTGGTAGTACTGGATTTAAGGGATGCTTCAACTGCAACAAGCCTGATCATCTGGCCAAGGATTGTCCAGATCCGCCAAGAAACCAACGTAATGCTGATGCCAGAGAAGCGGCTCGTCCAAAGGGTGACTATAATAATAGTAACAAAAAGAATAGTCAACAAAATGCCAAAAAGGAATCTGGTAATGTAGCTGCTGAACTCCTTGAATTTGATGATGAGATTATCTTGATGGCATCTGCTGGAGGTGTGGTACCTCGCTGGATCTTAGATAGTGGTGCTACAAGCCATATGGTTGGGAATCGTGACATCTTGACTGGAGTCACTCCTATTGATCCTCGTCCCATTGGCGGAATTGGAGGTCATTCCTTAGTAGCCATTGGTATTGGGAGCCTGGATTGTATTTTAGGTGGAGAGTTAATAACTCTTAAGGATGTGTTATTTGTCCCAAAGCTTACTCATCAATTGGTCTCCGTTGCCAAGTTGATGCAGGATGGTAAAGATATAGTATTCAAAGAAAATAGTGTCGTATATGGAGGGAATGTCATTGCACGTATGCAGAATAGTCTGTTTGACTTGGATATCACTCTGATTGATCATGCAATGATTGCCTCAGTCGATAATCCTGATATCTGGCATCGACGACTGGGCCATGCTGGAATTAGTGCAGTAAATTTGGTCCGTAAATACCAGATGGCTGAGGGAATAAACTCTGAAATGTCTGCCTACCACTCGTGTGATTGTTGCATATTAGGAAAATCCACTCGTCCATCATTTGATTACAGGCCACCGAAACGTAAAGCCAAACCATTTGCTCTGGTGCACACCGATCTTGCTGGTCCTGTCAAGCCTGAATCGTATAGCAAGAAGAAATATGTCATGACAATTGTGGATGACTGTACGAGATATGTATGGATCTATTTCTTACGAGAAAAGAGTGAAGCTACATCCAAATTCCAAGAATGGTTGGCTATGGTCGACAATCAATTTGGATATGGAAGGGTTAAAGCCTTGCACTCCGATGGTGGTGGTGAATATCTGAACAACACTATGGATACTCTTCTCAAGGCACGTGGCATAGAACACTTGACGACTTGCCCACATACACCTCAGCAAAATGGTATTGCTGAACGATTCAATGGTACCTTATTCAACAAGGTTAGGTGCATGCTCCTTGATGGCAATGTAGCAAAAATCTGGTGGGCAGAAGCTGCATCAACTGCAGCATATATTCACAATCGTCTGCCTACTAAAGTATTGAAGGATCATACACCATATCAGGCTCTCTTAGGAGAAAAGCCTGACATAAGCCATATGAGAGTCTTTGGTTGTGTAGTCTACTGCCATGTATCGGAATACCATATCAAACTTGATGACACTGCAGTGAAATGTATATTCTGTCCGTGCGTGACGTAGTCT